CACTATTATACAACCACACCCATGAGTCAATTTTTTCATTTTGCCATCATACAATGAAAGCAGGCTCTTAAGAAGGTGCCAGACTGACAGCTTTGAAGTTTACAGAACAGGTTTTGCAGAGCCATTAGTAGTCCCAGTTCTCCTGCTCTTCGATCTTTCTGAACGACTGTGGCTTGATTACAAGACAGCTTCAGTTGCAGCCTGGTGTATCTACGCATTACTTGCCACCTCTTAGGATATTCTTTTCTTTCCCTATCCAGAAAGTGACCCAATTATACGGCCTTTTTCTTCTTTAGTTTATTTTAATACTGTTCCAGTTTGGCACCTATTGGATGAAATSTAGTGCTGTTTTGTGGACTGAGTGGGCAGTAAGGCTGACTTTCTTTATCTGCTTCAGCGACTCCTTTCCAAATTGCCATGAAGAGCTGCTTCTGTGGGCAATTTGCATTCTTCTTACCTGTACTGAGCACTGCAGATAAACTGAAGGAATCAGGTCTCTGGGGTATGAAATCAGCATCTCTCACAGCTGCCAGTTTCACGGAATAATCAACTTTCAATTATGTAGCATAATGGCAATGGTAGAATAACCCAAATAAAACCAAGGCTGATACAAAAGGATAATAAATTTGGCAGTGAGGATAAATTTAGTGTGCTCACCTTTRAAATGCTGGTAAGCAAAATCCAGTAGAGAACAGAGGCAGCTTTAAGCAGTCAGAAYGGGGCTGGGTGCCAGTAGGGTGAATGGTGCTCCATTCAGACGTGGTGCTGAGGCCAGGAGTGATGGAGGAAGTTAAGGATTGGAGAATCCACACCATTCAGGTAACRCTGCAACTTGCCTGAAAAAGAAATTCTTTTTCATTAAACATGTTACATGTTATTTCTTTAAGAAAGTATGCCGCTGATCCCAATCAAAAAGTGCAAACAGACAGTCAGTGCTCAATGGCRTTTTAAGTGAGGGAATTGTTGCTGAAAAATTGGGGTGGTGTTTGTCTTTTGGCAAAGAGAAAAAAAATACAGTTTTATGAGAGGTACAAATTTTTGTTTGGCATTAATAAATAAATTTTGCCCATGGCAGCAAAGCTCAGCTACAATTTCTCCTCCCCATCTCTAGCCATATCACTCTGCAGCTGCACAATTCTCCAGGGACAAGCTCATGGACACACTAACTAGCTCTGAAACAAAAAGCTTCATTCTTTGGTTTTGGCAGTGAAAGCAGTGAGAAGCAGCAAGGCAGGAATACAGGTTGAGCTAAATCCTTTGGGATGATCTCTCCCATGAAACTCCTGGGGGTAGGACCAGAGCAGCAGCCTTGCTTGCCTGTCACTGTGAGGTACACTTTCACGGCTGCGCTGCAAAGAGTAACTGCATTCAAAATAGTCTTGCTTAGTTGGAGAAAATAAGGGTGAGTAACCAAAATATCAATCAGTCTACTTGGTGTGTACTCTAGTGTCTTGATACAGTGTGATTGAGTGCYGCTATAGCTTACACAGGTAGCTGTGCCATAAGCAAATAAAAACCTACACAACCAAGTGAAGGCTGTAAAACACACTTTTTGACATGCAGAAAGCTAGTATGGATCTGCTATAAAATGAGATTAGAGGAAGTGGCCTGAGCAGTTGTAACTCCACCTCACATTTTCTGTGTCTAGGTACAGTTATCCATTGAGTTGTATTAAATAAGCTTGCTAGGGCTTATGTTCTGATCTTCATACTACTATGGTTGAAATTGGAAGCATTGCTATGCTTGGTTTCGGTTTTGATGGCACTCATTTTTACAAACATTACAGAATATGAACAACTATACCGATCCTGTTGACTTTAGCCACATACAAGGTTTAGTAACAGTGAATGTTTTAATATTGCTGGCTTTGCTCATTCCACCTTGACAAATTATGGATGATATGTTTAATTTCCCATTACTGAACCTGACTGCTCCTTAGATTATGAGAGGACTTTTATTTTCTTTTGCTGGCGAAGAACTGAGGTACATTGTAGGGCTATGCCCAAATTATATAGGAAGKTATGGCAGAGCAGGTAACTGAGGTGAGCTTTAGCTGAATCCTATCTCAGTCCTTTCACATGTAAATTCAGTCCTACCTAATTCTTCCTATGTATCAAATTAAACAGTTTTCCTGCAAGAAGGAAGGCTTCAAGATTTCAAGGCTGTCTTAATGTCTCAAGGTCTAAAAGATCTAACCTTCCTTCCTTGTTTCATGACCATCTGCAGGGAAATAGCAAGAGACTGTTGACTTCAAAAGTGACATTCTCTAGACACCAGATTTTCACAAAACATTCAAATTGTGATTTCCCTTGTATTTTTGATGTCTGAGAGAAATAAACACGGGGATAAATTGTTTCAAGAAGTAGGGTTAAGCTTTCCTTCTCTGCTTGGTGCTGCTGGACTCTACTGTCAAGCTGACGAGTAGTGCCTTGTGCTCTGCACAGACAGGCTGGTTCTGAAGACAGTAATGGCAAAAACTGTCTTTTGACATTTATTTACTCAAAAGATTTATGACTTTATGGTGGTATTAGGGGTTATCATCAGTATCTTGACTGTAGCTCCCAAACACACAATCTGTTGTAGTTCTGTTTAACCMCATACACACAGTCTGCTTTGCTGACAAGAAAGGTGACACAGTAAATATAAATTACCATCTCACACCAGTGCTCCATGGGCTTMCTGCTCAGCTTCCGATGCGCTTCAAAGCTCTGTAGCTGTCTGGTCTCCAGCTGTCTTACAAACAACCTCTTCACCCATGAAGCATGCTGTGGGTAGGGGTAGTTGTTTCACAGGAACCTAGAATACATTGTGTTCTCAGGGTAAGTTCTTGCCTGACTTTACCTCCAGGGAACAGGAAGAGCCTGAGCTGGACTGTCCTCAGAGATGTTTGCAAACTGTTCTCAGAAACAATGGCTGATGATTCATCCGGCACTGTCATCAACAATCTCCAGGCCTGCCGTTTAACAGACCTTCCCAAAATAAAGAAAGGGGACCTTCCCAGGCAGAATCATGTATTTTTAGTGGTGGATCTACAGAGGAGTAATTTAGGATTAAGAGTGCTTGTAATCAAGTGATTACATATGCTTGCYTGAGGTCAGACAGTAAGCTAGTTTAGCAGCTCTGGGGACCCTTGTTCCTGTCTTGTGCTCACATGACATGAGCACACTGACTCATCCATATGTGAGGATATATAAATGCCTGCTTATAACGTGTTTTTGCAAGTTTTAGTAATAAAGCCAGATCTGTGAGGTTGCAATCCTTCTATGGCAACAGAATACTGTCATCACCAACATTTGACTTAAAAACAGTTTGAAAAAGAAGCTCAGTCTTTTTTTTTGTTTTGTTTTGTTTATGCTAGTAATGCAGAAGGTCACTGATTTAATGTGTGCAACCTTTGAAAGTTATTTCTATGAGTAAACATCTGCTGGGAGATATCCTGTCTGGGTGATACCTTTTGYAAATGCCCGAAATTAAGCTACCTAAACAAACTTTTCTTTGGTGAGAACATGGCAAGGCATGGGGTGGCTTTCTAGAGGTGTACATCCTAGTATAATGACAGGAAAAGTGATATTACATTGTCTGAAAATTAAAGACCCCAGAGTAGGGAAGATTGATGGTGTTTACCTTCTGCATTTGCTAGCAGTGAAAGCATAGTGATGACTGATGAAGACTAAGATATATTAATGAAGTAAGCTTGTAGTCCTTGTCAAGGATGTGAGTTGACAGAGGTTAGACATCATGCTGGCATCTCTGGGAATGAAATGTATCTGGTGAGGAGAGCCTACGTAAGCACGTACGGAAGACATCCACTAAAAACCAAAATTACGGATGTCTGCAACAGGAAATACATGAAATATTTACCTAGGGGATTTAGAACTATGCTAAAAAAAACCAAAACAAAACATGTCTTCTGTAGCTCCCCAAAAAATCACGTGAAAAGAGGACTAAATATTGAACTAAAAAGATGAAATAAAGAGAAGTGCAAAGGAACAAGAAAACCTTCAGTATGGGGCTTTAAGAGGTACTTGCAGTTGTTAAAGTATAAATGACTCTGCCAGAGGAAAGTTCTCTCTGTTTTTTCTTTGCAAGCTTTTAACCAAAAGTTAGTTAACATTAGTAGACTAGTGGATGTAAATAGCTATCATAGGGGAATATTAAAGTCCTTGAAGCTCTGTTGATTAACAGCATTTAAGGCTGAAGCATATATTTTTTKGGGCAGTGAACTTTAGGTTCAAAAACCCCAATTCCATCAAAAACTTATTTTCTCTCTTTCTTATCTCCTTCTCTTACACATCAGTAGATGAAGTCTACTTCCGATACCAAGAAAACAGCAAAAAATATTTTAACACTATACATGTTGTACTCCAGGCAGGTGAATGTATGAAAATGTGCCCTTTCTTGGGATGCATCAACTCACACACCTTCCTATAAAAGACATAAGGACAAAGAAAAAAACAATCATGAGAAAAAAAAACTATCAACAACAGAAGTCTGTGTTGCTGTGTCACCATCCATGTCACATGAAAATACTTCTTCCAAAATTTGGAAGCATTTTGTAAAAACATTCAGAAGCATATTGTTTTTTTTTCTTTTTCCTTTTGAAAGCAAAGCAAAGTTCCACCCTTGCTCTCTCCCTTTTTTTCTTCTCTCTTAAGAGAAAAAAAAAAAAAAAAAAAAAAAAAAAAAAAAAGAAGTTTTGAGAATTTCATTTTTTCTATTCACTGCAGTCCTGGCCAAAGTAAAGCCCTCTTTTACATTGACGTCAAGATCTTTACTAAGATTAGGGTTTCATTTCTCTATTGCAGCAATTAGCTAGGGAATGTATAAAAGGCTTCAGGGAAGCAAGCTAGGACTCCAGAAGGGAGAGCACTTTGCACCATAGGCAGATAGCAAGAGAGTGTGAGAGGAGGAAGGCAGGAATAGAGAGACGCGGAGTAGGAGGGGGGGGGGGGGGGGGGAGGAAGGAGGGGGGGGGGGGGGGGGGGGGGGGGGGGAGCGGGCGAGGCAGAGAGGGAAAGAGAGGGAGGGAGGCAGGGAGGAAGGAACAGAAAGTTTATGTACATAAACCTTTTTTTTAAAGTATTGTTGCACCTGGTAGCTAGCTTTACTGACACAGAAATGAGAGGTCTGTTCAGTGCTTAAATAGCTGAGAAACAATGGGATAGTGCAGGAAAGTTAACAATTAACAGTCTCAGCTTAAATTTTGTAACTGCGGGGAGCTGGAAACACAGCTGCCTCTCTCTTCAGCAAAATCAGGTCTCMTGGTTAAGAATTTTTGTTAACATCTAAATTTCTGAAAAATAAGCAGCTTGCARTTGAATGAGTATTGTGCAGTTATGRTTTTAACCAGCCTGCTCATATTTAAGTATCTCTGCTTGTTTTAAAGAGAGCAGCTGCGAAAGGGGTAATGAGGCTTTTGAAATGCCTTTTGCTTTACTCTTTTAAATGAGGGTACAGAGCAATAAAGAGAGCTGAAGGTATCCAGCTGAAGAGAAGCAGCAAGGAAGATGGGTCTGCTAAGTGTGGATTTGCTGATCACGCTTCAGATCTTGCCGGTCTTTTTCTCCAATTGCCTCTTCCTTGCGCTCTATGACTCTGTGATTCTCCTGAAGCACATGGTGCTGTTTCTGAGCCGCTCTAAGTCTGGGCGCGGTGAGTGGCGGAGGATGCTGACCTCGGAGGGGCTGCGCTGCGTCTGGAACAGCTTCCTCCTGGACGCCTACAAGCAGGTGAGTGTGCGGGGATGGGGACTCTCAGGTTGGGGTGGGTGAGCTGGGATGAGCATCCCGCTTGTCAGCGGGGAAGGGAAGGGAAGGGAATCACTGTGTGGTGAGACTGTCTCTTATCTGATGTTAAAGCTGATGGGAGAAGTACAAGCTGAAAAGAGCAGTACTTCTAAGTCAGAGTTAAGGATTCACAAAATTCTGGGGCTGCTGAATGCCTGTGCTATCTCTCTGTGCAGCCCTGGCCATCTAACTTAGTTTAGGTGTGCCTCAGTTTCCTCACCAGCATGAATAATAATCTTCATGTTTTAAACTATTCCAATATCTTTGTATGAGAGTAATTGTAAAATACTGCAGATGTTTTCACAGCTGTAGTTTATTTGTTTGCCATGTGAGATCCTCAGATATTACAAAAAGACTGCATCTTCAGATGGATCTCTACATAGATAGACGTTAGCTATGTAACTAGAGTTGTTTTACCTAGAGTAAAATATAGACATGAACCATTGTAATTACACTGGCATTTCCTATTATTCATGTGTTAACTTTTATATTGAGGAAGCATCCAAATAATCCAGTAAAACTGTGCACAAATTGAAATAGCTACATTTTTCCTTCATGAAGGCAGTGACAGAGGGACATGTCAGAGATTAAAAATGAACTTGACTAGCTGTCGGACAGCTGCTGCCTGGTCACTTAAGTTAATAAAGCCAATAACAGTTATGCAACATGTACTTTTCCTTTTAAGATTTCTACAAATATTACCCAGTGGTAGTACCCAGGTCTCATGAGGTAGCTAGAGTTCCCTTTTATAGATTGAAAAGGTGGACCCAAAACCATGAAATTTCTTGAACAGACCACCCAGTCAGTAAGCAGAAGAACTGGATTCAGAGCTCTGTGGCTTTCAAAACAGTGCTTACTCTGTTAATTTGTTGTCTTATTTAGACCATCTCATTTAATGTATTCCATGTGATGTCATAGGGGTCCTGTCCAAATTATACTCTATCTTCCCAAATATTTCTTTTTGTATTGTCTTCCCCTAAATTCCCTTTCACACCTCTACAATAGCCTTTGTATTTGCTCTTATCTGAAAATATGAAGAGCTGGTGGTGTTGGTGTTTGCTGGCTTTGTGATATGGAATACCATCTGCATTGCCTGAAACCCATGCCATAGGGACATTAATTTTCAGTGTAAGACAAATATAAATAACTTTAGCTTTTGCCAAATGGGTCAAGCTCTTACTGCCACCCTAGGAATCATCCAGCTGGCTACCCAAATAAAATAATGCTGAATGAAGCCCACTATTCTCCTAGCCCTTCTAGTCTTTGTTTTTATTCTTCTCCTAGACATTAAGTAAATACATTTTACAGTGGCCTTGTTAAATGGGTCAGTGAACACAATTGTTCCCATTTTACAGACAAGGCAAGGCAGGACAGTTAACACATGACTTGGTCAAGGCTCCAGTGGAAGTTGGTAGCACAACTCTGCAACAGTCAAGTTTTGAGTTCTCACATTTGCAACTTGTAGGTGGCCTGGGGTCTGGAGAAGTTGGGAACCTGTAAAGAACTGTATATCCATGAGATATTTTCAGCATATTTTTACTTAAAGTACACAAAACTGTTCATAATTGAGATATTGCATGCCTATCTGTAGTTTCCAAAATCATGCTTTGCCTTTCTTTCAGTACCATTGATGTTAACCATGGAAGCTACAGGTATGAGGAATCTGTGCTATATTTGGTGCTGGCAATGAAATTCATACCTTGAACTTTGGTAGTTTTCTTCTCTCCCTTATCATGGTTAAATCATCTAGGTTGTTCAGGCCAACTAGGCTATAAGGTTCCTAGAATGAACTCTGGGCCTCAATGAACTCAGCAGAAAAATGCATATAAACATAACCAAATTTTATCACCTTGTTCCAAAAAGAGGAAAAAGTCTATTAATTACAGCTATCCTTAAGAAAAAATGAATTGATCAGTAATTCATGGAAAGACTATTTTACTTAGTAGGATTATGGGCCATAAGGATAGAAGATCATTAGAAACTCTTAATTGTCACAGAAAGATAGTCAAGTACAGAAATCAATTGTAGAGAGAACAAAATACACTGAGGAGCAATATTGAAAGAAGACTCATCACCTCCACAATAGATGAGAAGCTTCTGCTGCTTCTGTAAGGAAGAAAAAGGAAAAAAAGTTTCAGCTGAAAAATTGTATAACAGAGTTGGAAATGATTGAAACATACCCTGCTTTGTAACATATTTAAAACACATGAGAAATAGTGAAATATGTCAAAGAATGTCCCACAAATTATATTTTTCCTTAAATCACCCTTTTCTAAATCCTGACTAGGATTACCCAGTTGTGATACTTTAATCTTAGACAATTAGTGAGAAATGAAAATAATTTGGAATCAGAGTACTATACAGCATGGCAAAATGTAGTCAATACCATAACCATGATTGCTTGTTGCTCCCATTTACCAGGTGAAGCCAGGTATTAGCAAACTACTTTAAAAGGTGCTTAAGCTCATTCCATTGAGGAGCATTTATGAGACAATAACCATTTTTCAGGTACAGTAGCAGAATTACAGATGTCTGAGATAACCAGAGCTAATCCAAGCCGAAGATTGGATCAAAGAACTGTGCTTGGTTTACTGTATTATGTGTCACTCACACAGAATTCTTCCTGAGTACCTTTCAGAACATTATTCACAAAAGTACTTGATATAAAATTTCACAGAAAAATTTACAGGAARCTGTTACAGAAAATCACTGTGGGTAGATATGTTCTAAACTAAAGTAAATTTATTACAATAAAAGACCTTTGCATTGAAAGCATACACTGTCCCAGAAATGATTTTTTTTCAAGTCTAAACAAGATATGATCTTGTGATGGTTAGAGTATATTTCAAAACAGATATTCTGAGTTACTTTCTCATTTTCTAGAAAATCTTGTTAATAATGTCTTATCCAAGTTTCGGGCAATTATTTCATAGGAAAGATTATCTAGCAACAGTTGGAGATTTTAACATCCTCAGTGGGCAAACAATGCAAAGTTTGTTGTGGTGTATGTAGAATACAATCAGTATTCTTTTTTATTGGAACATTCTCTATGACTGCTTTTCTCCACATTTTAAAATCTTACTGGAATCAAAATAATTGCTCATTTGTTTATTTTGATTTTTAATGCAAATTTTACTAATGGGTAATATATTTCTTTTTACTTCCTTAGCTCTGAGTTCAATATCTGTCARATTCAGTGTTGATATTGTCTACATTGCATCAGTGTTGTGGTTTATAGACCACCCTCCTATTATTTTCCAAGAGGCAAGTGTGTCTTACATTACAAGGGATTCTTTAGGACCAAATTAATCATCATAACAGAGATAAATAGAGTTAGTAGTCAAGTTACAYAAACTTTACATAATTGAAAGAGTGCAACTGTTTTATTGAAATAATATTTTTATATATGCATGTGTATGTGTAGGTATTTACAATCTTATGTTTGCATGTATAAAGATATATATATATATATATGTATTTGTCTCTATATTTGTGCCTATATATACATATAAAAAGGCAAAAGTACACATACATAAGCATACATAATCTGCTCTTCCAGGAGCCAGTCTCTCTCATTTCTCTCTATATGTATACATGTAGATATCTGTATATGTACACTTACATACAGATATGAATGCAGCCACAGCTACTGAAGAGAGAGGAAAGCAAGACTTTTTGGGAGCATGTTAGTGTAACTGTGATTTACATAGGCCACTTCTATATATGCCAGTGAGGTATTTGTTTTAACCTGTATGAATACTGAATGTATCTTACTCTGCAAAAATACCGAGAAAAAGCAAGAGAAGTTAAAAAAAAAACAAGAAAAGCTTTTTTTTTTTTTTTTTTTTTTTTTTTTTTTACCTGCTAAGTTATATGCTTTACTTAGTAGTGGGATTAATCTACTTTCCAAGATTTCAAAGGTGAGAAATTATTATCTTAAAATGCTTTTAAAATGGGTGCAAAAAAGGTTGAGCCCCGTGATGAGGCCTGGTGCTGGGAGCTTTTCCAGTGCCTGATATGAGCTCTGTGTTTCAGCAAGGCAGAGCTACCATTCGTAGTCTCCAGTAGAAAGATTTAGTGTTGTCTTTGAGGAAATCCTCCCTCTAATCCACCTCAGTGTAGGGTATTTAGAGGGAAGACCTTGATGGCCTCTCCCTGGAGCAGGCCAGCGCTCGGGAATGCTGTGGTGCACCTCTGGGGGCAACGTGCGCACGTGCACATGGCCAGAGCCGCGTGTAAGCGTGCGTCATGGCCTCAGAGCGATGGTGCACCTCCAGTGATGGATGGCGGTGGCTCTGTGTGTACTTGCACAGCTTTTTACTGCCTCGGAACGGGCCAGCAGCAAGCTCCGGCACGACAGCCCGGCGCAGGCCAATGGCTGGCACAGCGTCCCCGGCTCTGCAGGGAGCAGGAAGTCGAGTGGTTCGGTAAACACCCAGTGGGATTTTCCTGGGTTCTCAGGGAGGCACAGTTAAATTACCTTTGGCTATTTTTGTCTGCCTAGTAGCTACGTAATCTAAAATAAATCAGCATGCAGAGCAAAACAAAACAGTCCCAAACCTGACATGTTGAGTGCATGCCTCACAGCATTATCACAAARACATATGTGAAAGTAATAGAAAAGCGTGATCCTCTACCTGCTCTTTGGCTGTCCAGTAACTCTTTGCTTTTTGGGGAAATGTTTTAAAGGTTGGAACAAAGACACAACCTTCATGTTTACTATTTGTATTTATTTTGTCTGGCGAGGTAAGGAAGCATCTCTCTATGCATTTGACAGTGATAAAGGGAATTTGTGGAAAAAAAAAAAAGAGTCTGTTCTATAATTTCAGGGTTTCAAACTAGACATTGTGTGGTATTAAAAATATCTTCTTGGTTTTGCAAAGTTTGGCTTTAGTAGAGATGTTTTCATTGACATTTGCAAATGAAAACAATCTTGAAAGAAG